CTACTTAATTAAAACGTTCTTATTATCGTATGAAATGGATTGATTTTACGTATTTACAGTTAAAATATATCAATGGTACCGGGAGGGATGGATGGAATATTAAATTTAAACTATATAGGGATGGACGAAATATTGATTTGAATTAAATTAACAATTTATATGGTAGAGACGAATTAACTCTAAATTATAACGTTTAAAATAACTTGATATTGTGGCGTATGGTATAAATGAATTTTATTAATGTTAATTTGTGGATTGATTTTAATTTATGTTACATTAAAATATAATAACATTATCGTATGAAAGGGATAAATTCTAAATTATGATAAGTTCCAGTACCTGAACAATATCGGATGTTAAGTTACACTATTTTCTGTTTCATGACAAAAAAAAAAAAAAAAAAAAAAATTATCGATAGTTTGTGAACTAAATTTAACTAAAAACCTACAAAAAAAACTATTTATTCGCAAGCAATATAAATCCAGATAATTTTATCAATACTGTGGGGTGATTTTGTCTCTAGCTTTTTAGGGATTATTTTCCATTGAATTATTCCCCCACTGCTCGGATCCTTTAAGCCATATCCATTTAGAAGCCGTCAGAGCTTCATTTGAAATTTTCTTAACGGCTTTGGCTTTAGCTGATCCCACAATCCCTAAAAGCTTTGCATAATGACTGGCCTGCAAAGCCACGAATATATACATACATACATACATATATATATATATATATATATATATATATATATATATATATATATATATATAGGTAGTAATCCGTTGGTATAATCAAAGCGAGTCCTATTAATACAATATAGAATTTGAAATATTAAATATTAAATGTTAAAATTGATTCACAAAGAGCTCTCAATGTTTATTTTCATTAAACAGACCAAAGATTTTCGTACAATTGGAATTAAGATACCATTAGTTTCCTTCTACAAATTGACATCATAAAAACTTTGAAAAATCCTGCGAATTATAAATTTTAAAATTCACAGGTGAAAATGGTCATTAACTAATGGTATCTTTTAATTACAATTACAATATATATATATATATATATATATATATATATATATATATATATATATATGTGTGTGTGTGTGTGTGTGTGTGTGTGTGTGTGTGTATTTAAATAAAAAAAAAAAGAACAGTAAGATATATAATCCGGTGTTCTTATAGATATTTTTATTTTTACAAAATAGTGCTCAATGTAAATTTACAGAGCATTAATATTATAAATTAATTGATTTAAAATATGTTTTTTTCCACTACACAGTTCTAACCATGTTTCAAAAATGGAAGCTAAAAGCCACGAATTTAATTAATTTAAAAAAAAGTTACTCCAAAATTCGCTTGAGGATGAAATGGAACTAAAGTCTTTAATTGCAAAATTAAATTCGTGGCTTTTAGCTTCCATTTTTGAAACATGGTTAGAACTGTGTAGCGGAAAAAAACATATTTTAAATCAATTAATTTTATAATATATATATATATATATATATATATATATATATATATATATATAGGGCCGACGTAAGGGTCTCGTGCCCTGAATCTATAATGCCAGTCCCCACTCTACTACATCTCAATTTTTTATTTAGGGAGTATTTATATAAAATACAAATTTTATTGTAACCTAATTATATACAATAATGATCATATGCAATATGGGTAAAAAATAAATAAATAAATAAATAAAAAGAGAGAGAGAGAGAGAGAGAAAGAGAGATTGATATACGTTTACTATTTGTTATATACTTATCATACTCTCGAATATTTGAGCTATAATTGTTAAAAATTTCAAATATAACTCCAGTATATCTGTAATATTATTAATATATTATTATTATTATCATTATTATCTGTAACATTATGAAGACAAAAGGAAAACACACACACATATCTATCTATCTATCTATCTATATATATATATATATATATATATATATATATGTATATGTATATTTGTGTGTGCGTGCGTGTGTATGTGTGAGTTAAATGCCATACGTGATACACGCTTAGGCGAACATGTCTCTTTCGATTCATGACTGACTAGGCATAAGATTTTCCCGCGATAGTATTCTGCGGTAGACTGGATCTTATAGTTTTTTTTCCCAAGAGTATTTGCGCGTAAATGAACGTAACGAACTCGACACTCTGACCGTCCGCTATTTTATATTTATATGCGTGTGTGCATATGGAGATAAAGAGACAGAATAGAAAGTCTCTTTTGAGACTAGACGTTTACACCTCTTTATAGTAGGCATCTTCAGGTCGGAATGAGAGACAAACCCGTGTGAGAGGAAAATACATTGGGAATACGAGGGAACAGTAATAAAGATCCTTATCAGATGCTGCGGCCAGAAAGATTTTTTTTTTATTTCTTCTCGTATTCAAGTCGTTAACGTCTGCTAGATTTGAAAGTAACTCACTCAGAATAGATTTTTTTCTCACTAATAGTTCTACAATTCTTTTTTTGATATTGTATATAACCCCGGTGTGAGGTTGACTGTAGTGAATTGTGAGATCAATACACTTTCAAATCGATAATCGAAAAAGAATTAGTAACACACTGCGGTATACGATTGTAAATAGTCGAAACGCGTAGTCTGAAGAGATTGTCCACTTTTTCATTATTTGCACTTTTATTCTACATCCTACAAATACTGATATATATATATATATATATATATATATATATATATATATATATATATATATACAAGTATAGTCATTGGTCTATACGGAATAAATTCCAATAACCAAAAATACTATTCTTAAAAGAGTGCTCAATACAGAGTAGAGCAAATATAATTTATTCGAAAATTAGAACATAAATATGTTATAAAATCACTACAATAATACCCATTTGGTTTTAACACGTCTGGTGTCTTATCAAGTGATTGTGCCGTAGAGTGAAGGTAGTTAAAATAATAGCGGTGTCAAGGGAAAATCCGTACTTTTGACATACCGTTATTTGCTGCAAGAACGTTAAAGACTGCCGTGTTTTTAATATTTCTAACAATAAAATTAAGTTTAAGCAATTGTTAAACGTAATTCAAATGGATGCCTGCCAATATCTGCAGATTGTTTACACCTCTATTTTCCTCTTTTCATTAAAATCAACGCGGTATACGCTTCATTTGGGTTTACTTCTTCAGTTTATGCAAAATGCTGCTTGGATAACATTTAAACATTTAGGTGACCTAAGTCATAACATTTAGGCGACTTAAGTCATAATATTTAGGTGACCTAAGTCATATTATTTAGATAACCTAAGTAAACATTTAGGTGACGTAAGTCATAACATTTATGTGACGTAAGTCATAAGATTTAGGCGACCTAAGTCATAACATTTAGGTGACCTAGGTCAAGTGGAGAAGAGAATCAGAAAATAAATAATATTTCCATTTTAGTAATAATTTTTATAATAAAATTAGAAATATTTAAATTTTTAATGGGGACAGTTTTTCAAAATTATGCTTATTTTAAATGAAAATAAGTAATTTTTTCTACGCAAAACCTGAACTTTTTGTAGATCAATATAAAAAAAAACGAAATTTATCAAGATATTCATTTGAAAATGTTTGCATTATTTTGCAACTATATGATTTCTATATGAAAATATTAAATTCATTGAAATCAATATTGTAAATAGTCAGCGGCGGAGTAAAATATGTTTTTCCCTCATAAACTGAAGTAAATAAATATGAATGATTTTTACCTTGCGTTAGATTTTTCATTTTATTTTTTATCAATTTTTTCATTTTTCGAAGTACCTGACAACGGATAGTTTGAAAAATATATTGGTATAACGGAAAATATCGAGTTTTTTTTCTGTCTACGTTTTTAAAAAGAGATTAAGAACTTTTAGTAAAGAATAAAATACGTTAAGTTATATATTGTAAAAAGCTTTGCTTGATGCCATATTGAAAATACATCTTTAAGATTTGTCGATATTGAGATGGTCGAAATAAACAGTCACACAATATTTCTTTTTTCTTTTTTTTCTGGGTAGCTACTTTATAGACAACTCTACTCAAATGTGACTAATCTTTTTAGCAACTTGTCTACTGACATAAGTGACTCATATTAAACAATTACACTTTATTAAAAAATCTTATCAAATAGTTTGGTTTCAGTGAAATCGCTTTCTTTTTATTCATTAAAATCAGTAAAATATAAAGAACTTGACTAATAATAATTCTGGCGCAAATATTAAATAAGCGCAAGTAAGCGTAATGAATGAAAATTCGTTAACAGAAAATTTGTTAATTTTAACAAGGTCGGAAAATTTGGTAACTATGAAATAAAAGTCGATTGAAAATTGAATTTAGGGCCGTTCTAGACTGGGGATTTGGGGGCTAAGCCGCCTTCCCCTATATCTTTTAATAACTCAAAATCGTGCGGTCCAGATAAAACCCCACAATAATACCAGGGCTGTACTTGCGGAAGTGGGGTTTAGGGGACTAAGCATCCTTCCCCAGTATTTTTAAAAAACGTATTACTAACTATATGGGTAGAGATAAAAAACCCACTCCGACAATAACAGGGCCGTACTTTCTGGATGCGGGTGGGATAGAGTGATATGTCCCCTTTTAATATTTTAAAATATTTTTTTTTAATAAGTATATATTTAATTACAAAACTCAATTGTTTTCAAGTAAATACAATCTATTTAAGGTTATGTACCTTCTTTTAATAAAAATGTAAATTAAGTTTTAGATAGATATTTCTTTTTTAAAGAAACAAAAACTATATAGCCTTGTTTCTATTTCCAAAATATAGGGGATGGGCCTCCAGAACGGTCCTAAAATCAATTTTTAATCGACTTTTATTTCATAGTTACCGAATCTTCCTACCTTGTCAAAATTACCGAATTTTCCGTTACCGAATTTTCTGGGCACCAACCCGAATATTGGACCAAAATCTAAGTTGCTTATAAAAAATCGGGTAAATTATATTCACAAATTTTACCTGACACTGAGAGAGAAAATGGTTGATTCAGTCTGTCTCTGTGTCTTTCCTTTTTATCTATCTCTCCTTCTCTTTTTCTGTGTCTGTCGCTCTCCTTTTCTCTGTTTGTATCTGTCTCTCTTTCTTTTCTTCTATCTCTCTTTTTCCTCGTTCTTTCTACCTTCTTTTTCTTCCTCTCGCTCTCTCTTTTCTTCTCTCTTTTCTTCTTCTCTCTCGCTTTTTCTTATCTTCTATCTCTTTTTTCTTCTCTCTCTTTCTTCTCTCTCTTTCTTCTCTCTCTTTTTCTTTTACTTCTCTGTTACTTCTCTGTTTCTTCTCTGTTTCTTCTCTCTTTTTCTTTTTCTCTTTCTCTTTCTCTCTTTTTCTTTTACTTTTCTGTTTTTGTCTCTTTTTTCTCTCTCTTTTTCTTCTGTCCTTCTTTACTCTCTTTCTTTTTCTTCTCTCTCTTGTTCCTTTACTTCTTTCTCTGTTTCTTTGTTTCTTCTCTCTCTTTTTCTTTTTTCTTTTCTTCTCTCTCTCTCTTCTCTCTCTCTCTTTTTCTTGTGTCCTTCTTCACTCTCTTTCTTTTTCTTCTCTCTTTGTCACTTGTTTTTTACTTCTCTATCTGTTTATCTGTTTCTTCTTTCTCTTTTTCTTCTCTTTTTCTTTCTGTCTCTTTTTCTTCTCTCCCTTTCTTTTTCTTTTGTCTCTTTTCCCTCTCTCTTTTTTCCTCTCTCTTTCTCTTTTTCTTTTCTTTCTCTATCTCTCTTGTTTTCTTACTCTTCTCTCGGTGAATGAAAATGGGTAAGAGAAACAGAATTGTTTTAATATCCTTATGTAAGTATAATATAAAAAGTCAGTGTAAATTTTCGACAATTTCCCCCACCCCAAGCTTGTCCTGTGTACACATTTCTAGTGATCGCACCATGTTTCATAAAGTCTTCCTTAGCGGAATTACAGTCAAGCCTCATCATTGTTGTTCCAATGTCTCAAGCTACAAAACACTTATCGGGAGAATTGAAATCCAATTTCAGCTAAGAGTAAAATTTATATATGACCTTATAAACTGGCGGCTTGCCTAATTTCTATTTGGTAATTCCAGTTCCTTTAAGTCATCGTAAATGGCATTTGTTACACATTAGTATGTAGTTTTCACTCTTCTTCGACTGACCACTGTGCTTGACTATATTCTTTTACTCTGTACGTCAACCAGCACTGTCAATCTTGCTATACAAAGTAAACCATCGCCATTAGAACATAGCTCACATAGTTTGTATGAAAATGGCCGAAACTGGGTGAATATATAAGCGTTTATTTGAGCGCATGCGCTGTGATAGTGGAAAAACCGGTTTCAAGAGGACATAGAAAACAACCATGAACATCTTCAGACGACAGCTGCTTTGTTGTCTGACAAACGTAGCCGCGGTCAGGCGGAATAGCAATTACTGAAAGAAACTTTGCGTACTCAGTTTAGATATGCAATTGTGCTCGCAGTTATGGCATACGAACATGATTCAATTTGAAATTTATATTTCACGCATCAAATGTAGATCATCGGAATTTCTTTCATTGAAACACAACCGTTTTAGTTACTGCCTCAGTTAAACATAGAAAAATTGTATTTGCTAATATTGGATACATTTGTTGAATAACGTCTTTAAAAAAGGCTAGGTTTTATTTTCATTCGGTCGTTGTGTTCTCCGGCCTTCTTCAGGTATACGTCGTCGTATTCTGTAATCTCGCTCTCTATGCGTAGGGAATATTTCATAGCAATTAATACTTAGCATAGTCAACTTTTTATATCATTTTTTTTTCTTTTACTAAACAATAATATACTCTGTGTTCAGGCATTGAACTCACAACTGCTATATACAGGTCCCGGCAGAAATATCTCTCAAATAATGGTACGACATTACTGGCAATGGTGCCTTCATCCAGCTAATGTCTTTCCATTATGTGGTAGGTCTTTCTGCAACACAACCTGTATGTTTAATCAAAGCTTAATCCTTTAGACTAACCGCTTTCTAAGATCAATGATAAAAAATGGTTTTGAGCGAGTGAAGCCTGTGGACCTTGGTGAAGACATCCTTCTTCAAGCATTGCTGACTGGCGCTACAGAATCATAAACAAAAAGCTGTACCAGACCACAGAAACAACGGCAACAATTAAGATGGGTAGCACATGTGATACGAAGGGACAGTAAAGATACACCCAATATGTTTCACACTACTTCAAATAAAAGGTTAGGTAGGAAGGTTCCTTCATAACCCTTTTCTGTCAATACTGGAAAGGGCGATAACAGCTACAGAACTTGAGAAACGTATTTTCCTGAAAAATTGTTTCAAGAGAAATTCTAAAAAAATGTTAGCCGACAGCAGCACTTATTGCTTGGCCACTGAATGCTGAATGTTTCCTTATAAGGAAACTGCTAATGTCATTGTTATGAATAATCAAGAGTGATCTCCCCTTGTTTTGTTACTCTCCTCTCTGAGAGCGCTATTTCTGTTTACTGGGACTATATAAGGACACTATACGCGAAGTTGAATAAAGATTTCTTAAAGCCTACTTTTGTCATTATACTATCTACTCATATTGAGGATAAAAAAATAAATAAATAGTAAATAAAATTTTAGAGTTTAGAAGTGTAGAGTTGAAATAGACTTCAGACGGGACCGGAAACCCAATCGTAAACAGGAAACAAGGGATAAATTTCTACTTTCGTTCAAAAGATCAGGGAGGAGTGTGAACCGAACAATCGGTGAACCTATCTGTTATATATCCTCAAGAGTGGTCTCCCCTTGTTTTGTTATTCTCCTCTTTGACAGCGCTATTTCTGTTTACTGGGACTATAAAAGGTCACTATACACGAACCTTGTATTCTCAGTTGAATAAAGCTTTCTTAAAGCCTACACTCGCGTACTTTTGTCATTATAATCATTACCAATGTATCACTTGGATAAGTGACATAAAGGTGAGTATTAAATGATATGAAATATCCTATAAGCATGGAAAGCAAAATGAGAACAGTCCACTCTCCCAATCCAATCGTAGATTCAATGAAGTGTTCGATTAAAAATGTTACAGAGTATGATCCCAATTACCTGGAGAGGGGGCGGGGGATATAATGGTTGAAATGTCGAGATAGCAATGCTAGTTCGAATAACATGGCTTCCAATAATAATTCTTCATAAAAAAAATCTGATGGAATTTATATAATCTATATCTGTATACAATATACATCGAATGAGATGATGATCTGTGACAGACGGGTACGTTTGTTGCTGGTATCAATTCAAGTAAGTCTTTTCAAATTAAAAATCACCTGTTATTTAGCAGAAACTTTACACCATATATTATCATAATTATATATATATATATATATATATATATATATATATATAGATAGATAGATAGATAGATAGATAATTTCGATATATATTATATGTGCGCGGTAATTATTGGAAAGTGCTCAATATCAGTGATAGAGCTAACATATTCAGTTGTATGGATATGAGTTTGTGACCCTGTGTTTCAGGTTTTTGCGATCATTAGACAAATTCTGATGATCGCAAAACCAGGAAATCCAGGATTACAAATTCATATCCATACAACTGAATATATATATATATATATATATATATGAATTTCCAAGAGGATAGAATCCAAGTAGAACTCAATGTCCAGGACAGAGTAAGAATATAATATAAAAGGCTCAAACATTAATATTCCATGGTTATAGTTTATTGCACTAGAATCGTAATCGCGATCGAAATCACACACAAACAGTGTATATATATATATATATATATATATATATATATATATATATATATATATATATTATGCGCGGTACTTAATGGAAAGTAGTTAATATCTGTGATAGAGCTAACGTATTCACTTGTATGGATATGAGTTTGTAACCCTGGGTTTTTCGCTTATATATATATATATATATATATATATATATATATATATATACGTCAGACATTATTGTAGTGGATACTGATATTTGTAGTAGATGCCCCATTTTTTGTTTTAAACAATGTGCATTACGTTTATCGGAAAAATGCTAATACAGAAAATATGCTCTTCATCAGGAAACAAACCTTTGTCGTAGAGACCACCGTTGGATCTGGGCTGTTTTACCGCTTGGTCACAGACAGCTTCACAGTCCAGTCAGCCTCTATTTTCCCTTTTTAAGAAAAGCACCTCCTCGTTCAGATTCCTTCCCTCAATTTTCCATATCTTTTCAGTTTTGTATCCGAAACGTAAATAAAGCAATTTCTAAAGAATTAATGGATTTATTTTTAATCCGATATTTTTATTACTTCAAACGTTATTATAGTAAATCTATTCTTTGAATAAACACATCTTTTCCCCTCACCATAACTTTCTTTCTTTTTATTTTTCTATCAACTAACCATGTTTTTTTATTTTTTATTTTTTTAGCAGATTTCGTGTATAAATTTCATTGATTTTTTATTTATTATTTAAAAAAAAAATTACCTGTTCAAATCCACATTGATAACGTTTTTAATCAACATGGTTGCCAAAGTAACAACTTTTCCTTCGATGTTTTTTAATTTTTATGCTTCAAGAAAAGAGGAAAAAGTCAGCATGGAAATAAGTTTCTAAAATCAAACATGTAAAGAAACACACACACACACACACACACACACACACACACACACACACACACACACACACATACACACACACACATATATTATGAAATGGACAAAGTTCGACAATTATTTAAGAACGTATAAACATAAAAAATTCTTAAATAATTGTCGGACTTTGTCCATTTCATAATGTATGACGTCATTTGTTTAAATTTGGATATGCATTGACCAAATATGAATGAATGAGAGAAAATCGTGGAGAATTGTGTTTAAAAACAGTATTATCGACCTTGCTAACCGAACGTTCCCCTATGGCCCAATCGGTTAAGGCACATCAGGCTATATGACGGTTCCGCATAGGATACAGGTTCGATTCCTGTCGGAGGACGCATATTTTCTATGAAGATTTCTCGGACATTCAGGCCGATAAATGTTGTTAATACTGTTTATTATAAACAGAGCATTTACTTAAATATGTGTATCTATAAAAGAACATATAAACATAAAAAATGTCTTAAACACACACACACAAACAAACATATATATATATATATATATATATATATATATATATAGTAGTTTATCGGGGTAGCAAATCATTATTTAAACATATATTGTTAAATATAACAGACAATGAATGTCTATTATGTCTGATCATGAGCCGTTCTAATGTTTGAATGTTTGCTTTAATTTCGGGTGAAAATAAAGACAAAAATTGTCCACTATGTTAGATGTGTGTATTAGTAATTTATGTGTGAGAGAGATAGAAGAGAAAGAATGAAAAGTGAAAGAAAAATACAAAGATATCAGAGTGGGCGGTAAAAAGAAAGATAAAGGGAAAAATTAGACTCTATCCAAATCTATTAGAGAAGTGTAGGTAAATAGCCAGACTAAGACAATAAAAAATTAAAAAAATTAAAAAATTAGTAGCTCGTTCGTTTGGCCAGGCTGAGAACTTTTCAGCCCCACCACATAAACATGAAAGGTTATTCATGCCATTCTCTCATGATAGAAGAAAAGCTACCAACACAAACATTTTTAAGGATTTTTCAAATGTATATCATTGTAGAACCTTTTTTTTTTTTTTTTTTTGTATATTCCATCTTCGGATATTTCTTGTCACTCATTTCTTATCCCGATAGAAGCCCGTAAATTAAGAGTAGCTTTAAATTC